TGGTTGAAAATGGTGCCACGTGCGCGGCAGTCGCAAAAGAACCTGATTGACTCGATGTACTGCCATGATCCCAGCAACCAATAGAGCAGCCCGAACAGCCTTTTCCGCCAGTTTTTGCGGGCTTGGGATGACATCACTAATGTAGAAGGCCACCTTGGCAGCGCTCCAATCCACGCCGCCTTAATCCTGCTATCTATGTCAGAGATCGTAACTTTACAAGTGCTGTTGTGCTTGTCGTCTAGGAAATACCCTGCTGGCTTCTGCGCATCCCCTCAGTAGCGTGGATGTGACGAACCATACCCTAGACCTGAACCCGTTCCCACAAGGTGTTTGTAAAAAGCCGGAAAAAGAGTAAATAAATTTCTATGTCTAAAAAGTTTATTCCAGTGGCCTTGTCTAGTTCAACAGCTTCCACTAATCAAGACCCATGAGATGACTTCTAGGGAATTTTAGAAGTTCTTATCTAAATAGATTGAATCTCATTTCTAGTGATACGCGAATTGTTTTGAGTAAAAAGATCCTAGGATTTTTCATGACGCGACATTTTCAAGCGCCAAATGCCGAGGTAGGATGGCCTGTGCAGCGATTTGTTTTCGGCAGCAGTTTGATATGGAAAGGGGTCACTTCTTTGGCGCGCTTATCAGACCGTACCTGACCGTCAATCCAACTGATAAACTCTTCTCTATATAAAACCGTCCTCAACAAAGCGACCTACAGTCGGATACAATGGTGAGTTTTTTTTCAATTTCTCTATACTCCCAATTTCTCTATACTCTATCAGATTACTCGAAATCGCATTAGTTTTAATGGCCGCGGCGGTGTGGGCGGGGTTATCCGTTATCCTCATCCACTTACTGCGTCTTGAACGGACAGGATTAAAGTTATTACTGAGCGGAAAGAATGACAAGCTAACTGCGGATTTAGGTAACTTGCAAAATATTGGCTAGCCATTTACTTTACGTTTTAAAATAGTGGATAAGTATAGTAGGTTCGTCAATCTCGGAGCACAAAGACGCCTCACGTTCGTCTGGAGCTCAATCCACAAATCTTTTTAGGCATTGAAAGCGATGAGATCCTCTGGAACATAAGGTGCACGAGCCCTGCGCGTTACAGCCTTTGTTGCGGACCGCTGGTAGCTCTCAAGGGAAAGCGCGCTGGATTTGGCCGCAGGCCGGCTTGTTGCACGGCCAGTGTGGTCATCTGTCGCAGCTTGTCACATGGCTCAGTCATCATGGTCTGTCCATACACCATAACCTTATTACGTCCCACCCTCCGCCCTCGTCTGGAACACTGCAGCAACGTTCGCAAGCGAAAACTCTAAAGAACCTCCCCCTTCTGACGCCATACATATTGTGTTTTTCCAGTTTTTTTGCGTATTTATGTTGTTCTTATTAATATTCTGTCTTATTGGTGAAATATTCTGTGAGTAAGCGTAATATCTGTATGCCCATCCGGTATATTACTTACCTGCATACTTACAGCTGTCCACATGGACACTTTAAATTACCTTCCTCAAAGATTTGAAATTCAGAGGGGACTCCTGGTGTGTCTCTTCTTCATATTGGCCGAATGCCGTATTGAGCTTGATTCGTCGTCAGAAGAGTACCCCGAGAAGGAGTATACAAACAGAAGGTCCACTCTAGGTGCGTGAGATTTATTTATTTTGGGTACGCTGGTACCATTTTGTTGACCCCACGATGTCCAATTGATAGCATAGACATGTTTATGCGATAGAAACCAAAGGATAAAAGGTCTTCTGTAGTCGTTTTTGGTGCGCTGAAGTGAGCGCCAGTTTTGCCGCGGCGCCAGCTCACTTTCCACCACTTGTCGTTGCATGCCCGCAACAGTCGGTGAAAAACGGATTAGCGCCTTACCAAGCGCAGCTGCCTCCCACGGAAAATTCTGCTTGGGCTGCGTTCATACTTTGTGGCAGCTACCAGCGGCGTCCACCAGCGACCAGCAGCGTTTCGAGCGTCTGTCAGCGTCAGCGAATAGAAAAGTATAGATATCGATCTAGCGTCTACCAGCGTCTACTAGCGTACACCGCTGACCGGCAGTGTGTCGGAGTAGAGAGTATAGGGGGCCATAGGAGGGTAGTAGACAGATCGTAGAGGAGTATGGTGCCCTATTGTGGCCCCATATTCTCTACTACCAGTCTGCTACCTTCCTATCTCCTCACACTCTGTCAGTTGTCCGCCACTCTCCTATCACTATATGCTCCCCAGTACTGGACCCTGCTCGTCTAACGGATGCTAGACGCTGGTAGACGCTAGATCGATATCTACGCTCTATTCCCTGACGCTGACAGACGCTCGATACGCTGCTGGACGCTGCCGCAAAGTATGAAGGCAACCTTACGCAATCTGTTCAATAGGCTTCATGTTTATTTGCTCCCGAGGGAATTTTCGAATCCTGCACCGTACTCTCTACCAAGGAGAAAAGTTTTCTTGAAAATCTCAGATTTCTGCTCATATTTTCAGAAGCATTCCGAAACCGTAAGATTCCGACGGAAGCTGAGGAATTAACTGGGCAAGAACTGGTTGACTATGTGAACAGCCATCAGTCGCTGTGGAAGGTTTGTGGGACGCTTTTGATTGGAACAGTAGCATAAAGGTACATACATCAAGTGGGCTCAGGCCCTAGTTATGGTGCCTGCCAAAGGAATGCTCCGGCAAAAACTTCTGCTGAACTAGTGTATTACTTTTGCTAGAACATTTTTGCAGCGTCTCGTCCGCGTAAACCATTGGGTATTCAGGCAAGGGTTGAATCGCCGGCGTTCGCCCATTATCGGACCCGAACAAAATGGCGCCCATTGGGAGTGAATAACGTGCGACCGGGAGCGTACAAGGCTTCGTATTCCTTCGACGTCCTTCATATCTTTCCTCAATCGCCAATCAAATATTTGCTGCACCTCCTGTCACCGACCGTGGAACGGGTGAGGGCGTGGGCGGCGCCAGGGTGGGCGGGGGCGCGGGGGGGGGGGCTGGCATCGGGGCGGGGGCGGGGGGTGACTTTTTTGTGTTTTATTTTTTTTTTTTTTTCTTTTTTTTTTTATTTTTTTTTTTTTGTCTTATCAACTGTTTCATAGGCCAAAAACAGCCATCTGTGCCACCACCAAGGACTTAACATCGACATCCGGAGTCGTTTCGATTTCGCAGACGTGAACAATGGCCCCAACTGCGCTTCCATTACAAAGTTATCGACCAGTCCAAGTTGCGGTAAGTACACGTGAAATTAATCTGGTCTCCATTTGAAAAGGTGAGACATGGAGGGAGGGTTTAGGTTTTTTTAGGTCAATCGGGCGTCTCGCAAGCAAGGAGCTGCTCAGATTGTTTCCTGCAGCTGGACAAGTGCGTTCGCCGTCAGAAAGGAACCGCTGTCGCCAGTGGAATGTGGAATAATAGATGTGAAAGCTTCAGGAGAACTAAAAACTGCAAAAAAACTGTCGAGAATGAAGGAACTAAGACGCTAGTCATTCAAACGCTCCATGGAAGCTGGCAGCAAGTTCGGCAACGACGGGGTCCATTTAACATAAGACTGGGATAGTGGTCTTTCATCCGTTTCCTTCTCCACTTTAATAGAATCTTCCACGCTTCTGGATCAGATCACCGGCATCCGATAGAACGATGAAAGAATCAAAACGCTTCCAGATGCCATGGAATGTGAGGTCGAGAGCAGCCCCATGCGCAATATATTCTTCATCGAAGCTGCGTAGGGAAGCGAAGTAGAGTCGTGTCCAGCCGCTTAAGAGACGGAAGGATCTCATCTGAGTAGATGGAAAGTGTTCGTTTCGGTGAGAAAAGAGCGGGGATTTCGCATAGAGGCTACAGATTTCTGGTTCGCATAAACTGAGGCGTCACATTTCCACTGCTTACTCAGCGCCGGGTGGAGGCGTTTTACTTTTGTCGCAGCGCCACCCTATCTCCATCAGTGGTGGCCCGCACAAGATTGGGCAACGAGAGGTGGAAACGGGCTGGAGCCGCGCCAAAATGTAGGCACGCAGGAACGCTCCCACCCTGCGCTTCATTTGGTGCTACACTTCCTACTCCACAAAAATTTTCAATGACGGCGAGAGGCTGTGACAGGCATTACAATGAATCGAAAACAAATTTTGATCTCTGACTTGGATGGGCAGATCGGGCCAAGATGTGCAAGTGGTGGGATGCTTCAGAATAGTAGCGGATAGTCAGCACTCTAACCTGCGCAAGCTGTAGTTTTCGTGAATGAGGGATTTCAGGAGAGGCATTCCCCACAATGAAAACCCTCATTGAGCGCGCTTGTTGGAGCGACTTAGCAGTTCGTCATAAAGAACGCCTCCAGTCATATTACCACTACAGCTTTCGACCTATAAACCTGCTTCTTCTATTTGAGCATAGAGTAATTCATGAGCAAGCAAATGTGTTTTCAAGGATCTTGTTGGGCGTTCGGAGCTGTCGAAGCGATGTCGGATCGAATTTGCATTGCCTCGAAAGGAGAAATTCAGGTAGGTTCTATCAAGCTTCAGCGAAAAAAAACTTTGTCTTCGGAGTCGTGAGAACAGTGCTCAAAAAAATTTGCTTTTGCAAAAAATTTTAAATAGATTTTATGCCTGCGAACAGACTGCAAAAAGTCCTAATGGAGATTAGTGACCGAAATAAATGTAAAATGGAATTTTTTTTCAGGTTTCGCTTTCTGCTGATGACCTCCTCAGCTGCTGCAAGTCGTGTGGTTTTGGGTAAGATCTTGACACAAGTCTTAAAACAGATCCATCATCGTAATGACCTCAGAGACTAAACTTTTTATTTTCGTGTTTACCTGATCAATCTCATTTCTATTGCAGTTGCAATGGTGGAGACCCGTTGGCGGCTTGGAAATACTGGGTAAAGGATGGAATCGTGACTGGATCGAATTTCACAGCGCATCAAGGCTGCAAGGTGGGCTGAATATCCTA